TGTTGATTATTTGTTTTGAATATTATGATAGATAGACAATATAAGTTGCAATTGTTGTTCCGCTAAGTAAGATCTGCAAAGAAGTCAACATGATCAATATAGTGAATTGACCCCTTAAAGAGTTATTACCCTTAAAATGTTTTTTTTTTACATTTTTTGTGAAAGTCTAACTACTTTTTATTTTTGTTGTTGTCTAAAACTTTAAAAGAATGTTCCTTAGGGTATCTAGTTTATAGATTGTATTTGGGGATTTGATCCATTTAAAACATGGTAGCAGTTTCTTAAAATAGAACAGAGGAGTTAAAATGAAGTTTTTGGCTTTCATCTCAAAAACTAAAGCAGTAAGAGCAAAACTGACGTAGGTGAAAGTGTTAAACAGGTTTAGTTCTACTTGTCAAGTAATTTTCAGACCAAAAGACAACTTATTTTTTTATGAACAATAAGTTGTCCTTTTGGCAGGGTTCGTGTTGCTAAGTCTTTAGTTTAATATGTCGTGTCTTGTGTACTATTATTTGTCTGTTTGTCTTTTTCTTTTTTGAGCCATGGCGTTGTCAGTTTATTTTCTATCTATGAGTTTGACTGTCCCTCTGGTATCTTTCGCCCCTCTTTTACAAATGTTTTTCAAAATTTTCCAAATCTGAGGAACATAAATTTAGAAAGTGATGTTATCTGGATCATGATAAATGAAGATATAGATTTTAATCCTTTTTATGTCTGTATTAAAAGAATCAAGATGAGACAGAAAAATAGACGCAAGTTAAGGTATACAAATGAAGTTATCCCTCTTTTTACTGGTTATCCCTCTCATATATTTAAATTTTTAAACTTGTTTCTATATTTGTTCCTAATCATTTTGATAAGTAATAATCAGTATGTATGTAAAATCCCATATGCTGTTTGTGTGGATATACTCAATTCTCAATGAATATTCATAAAATCCGCTTATAAACTCAAAATTCAAAAGATTTTTTAAAAGTCGATAAGTGGAACAAAATGAACGCCGAGAAAACTAGTGAAGACTATAGTAAAGGGTACGACAAGCAATGTACTGTGGTATTATGCAGAGACAACGGTCGTCGAAATCCAGAATTTTCGTTCCACACGTTTCCCAAACTGACCAATGAAGGAATCTGTTGAACCAAGCAATTAGAAGAGATCCAGGGTCCATGTTTAACGTAATAATTTCATCATTCGGTGAACATGTCATGTTGATATACATAAATCGCCATTGAGTTAAGTTTAATGATAACTATTGCATCTTTTATATTCACCACTGTACAGTTTAATATGAACATATACAGGCCAGGCAGATTACGGAGCCCAGATTACTTCTATGAGCCCTCCAGTCAGATTAATACAATGTACATATATCCCAAAAACTGATTTATTTCGTGAAAACTCGACTCATAACTAAAGGGCTTTCATGTTCATGGCTTGACATGTTTTTCACGGCTATGTGAAATTGATCCATGACGATGTCATATCGTACCTTTGCTAACTTGTTTCAAACCAACTCGTACCAAATATTTATTATTGTTTATATGCTTTTTAGTTTTTTTGTTCTTATAATCTTAAAACTATCACATTAAAATAGTTTTCTTAAGAAATAAATTCATATGTGCTTAATTGGAAAACGAACTTAAATGATATATTGTAATCATCTACATAGAATACCAAGTACTACTGTAAACCAACTTATTTTCGCAGATACTATTTTTCGCGTTTAGCCCTTTTAGTCCATTTCGTTGCGATTATCAAATTAAATTGATGTAGTGAGATAAGGAAATATCCAAGTCTAAACTTTCGCAACGATTTATATTCGCGTTATATTTCTAAACGTGAAAATCGCGAAAATAAATCGCGTGCGAAAATAAAAGCATACTGCGCTTGTTAACCTTCAATTTCATTGTATTTTTATTTATATTGTATTTTTCTCGCTAAACTTTTAATTAGATTTCGGAGAATAGCATATGTTTGTATATGTACTACCACTATCCTACATCTTTACGTTCGTAGTAACATAGAGGTATTTCCGTAACAATGTGGACAACCGCAATACTTATGTTGGTAATACTACTGAATCATTTACCTTTAACTTGTTTGTCATCGGCTATACATAACAAGGATTTTACACTCACTAAGTCTGTCAGAGGCCTTCCAGCAGGGATTCAAATAGAATAAAAGAAAAAAGTTCATGCATGTGCATGAGAAGAAAAAAAGAATGTTTAAGTATTCAACATTAAAATCAACACACAAGGTTTATTTTTTGTTTAAGAAATTTTTTTGCTTTCTTTTTTTTGATGCATTGCTTTGATATTGTTTTTTTTTTCTTTTTTAGTTATTTGAAGTTATAAATATTTCCATATTTTTATAACTTTAAAGGTACTGTTACTGCACCAGTAAACTTATTTTGATTTTTTTTTTAAATTAAACTTTTAGTCAGTTTCAATCACTGTGACAAATAAATCATTTCAATCTGATAAATGTGCTTCGGGGCAGTTGTAACTCATTTATAAAAACTCTTAGTTTTGAACTGTAAATATATCAAAATAATAGGATAATCCCTAACTAAAAACATGATTTACATTCATTCTTCGCAATTAAGAAACGTCAAATCCTACAATGTGTTATGATATTATAATTATTATGTTAATTTAACGTTGCCTTATTTGTTTTGTGTGGCATAATCTACGATGCGTAATTTTTAACTTCTTCAGTATTCAAGAAGTCTCCCTTCTATAGATTACTAGAAATTTCTCTTTCACAGTGTTCCAGAAGTTACCGGGACACCTATATATACAGACAACGAAATTCTCAGAAGATCTTTGTAGTTGTTGGAATGGCACTTTTTTTTATGAACAACATCATATAAGATTGTGAACTTATTGGACATATATATTCCATTTGATTCCGTACAGTTAAGAGACATATATTGTAGTAGTTAGGTTGACATTTCAATTTGCATAATATTTCTTGTAAACTTGTGTATAATAAATCTTGTTAAATTTTATTATTGATTTGTGTCTCTTAATGGCTACAATTAAAAGGTGATTTCTAGCCGTAAGAATGGTCTTGGTTTATGTACTGTACCCGGTCGTGGTCTCGACTTAAATATACGATATATTCTCGCTCGTGGTCTTGATTTATATACTATGCTCGGTCATGCTCTTGGTTTATATTTTGTTTGGTCTTTATCTTGATGTATGTATCATGCTTGGTGATGGTTTTGAATATATACTATGCTTGGTAATGTTCTTGATTTATGTACTATGCTCGTTCCTTGTCTTGATTTATATACTATGCTTGGTAGTGTTCTTGATTTATGTACTTTGATCGTTCCTTGTCTTGATTTATATACTTGGTAGTGTTCTTGATTTATGTACTTTGCTCGTTTCTTGTCTTGATTTATATACTATGCTCGGTAGTGTTCTTGATTTATGTACTATGCTCGTTCCTTGTCTTGATTTATATACTATGCTTGTAGTGTTCTTGATTTATGTACTTTGCTCGTTCCTTGTCTTGATTTATATACTATGCTCGGTAGTGTTCTTGATTTATGTACTTTGCTCGTTCTTTGTCTTGATTTATATACTATGCTCGGTAGTGTTCTTGCTTTATGTACTTTGCTCGTTCCTTGTCTTGATTTATATACTATGCTTGTAGTGTTCTTGATTTATGTACTTTGCTCGTTCCTTGTCTTGATTTATATACTATGCTCGGTAGTGTTCTTGATTTATGTACTTTGCTCGTTCCTTGTCTTGATTTATATACTATGCTCGGTAGTGTTCTTGATTTATGTACTTTGCTCGTTCCTTGTCTTAATTTATATACTATGCTCGGTAGTGTTCTTGATTTATGTACTATGCTCGTTCCTTGTCTTGATTTATATACTATGCTCGGTTGTTGTTTAAATATAAATAGAAAATAGAAAATGTGGTAAGATTGCCAATGATACAACTCTCCACAAGAGACCAAATGACACAGAAATTATCAACAATAGGTCACCGTACGACTTTCAACAATGAACAAAGCCCATACCGTATAGTCAGCTAAAAAAGGCCTACAAATGACAAATGTAAAGCAATTCAAATGAGAAAAATGCTGCTTAGTGTTTATCATATTGTTTCCGGATGCTTTGTATTTCAAAATATTTTTTTGTGTCTAAATGCTCGTTTGTTTACGATTGTCTTAATTTTATTTCGGTACTTGTCTCATTGAAGGCATGGATTACCTTAGCCGTATTTGGCACAACTTTTTGGAATTTTTGGTCCTCAATGCTCTTCAACTTTGTACTTGTTTGGCTTAATAACTATTTTGATCTGAGCGTCACTAGTGAGTCTTATGTAGACGAATTGCACGTCTGGCGAATTAAATTATAATCCTGGTATCTTTGATAACTATTTGCCCTTTATTTCTATCAGATTTCTTTAATTTGCCTCTCTGCATACTGTTGTTGTGATCTTTTCGGTGTTCCTAATTATTCATCAACAATAATCAGATTTTATAAAAGTCAAAGGTCACGGTCACATGGCAAAGTTATGTCTATGATCTGATAGACAAACAACTTTTACGATCAGAAGAAGTGTTACATTCGAAATTAAATAATATAAATATATCTCATAATTTGTAAATTTTACTTTTACTTATTGTAAAGTTATTTTTGTCTCAGTTCATAGTAGATTTTTCAAATTTTCACACACTTTACAGCTTTTCATTCTAACCCGAAAAGGTTCTAAAATTACACAACTCTTTCAAAGAGTAACGGTGAAACCATTGTAATGCTTTAAACAAAGAATTTATCTAAATTTAATGTGCATTTCAAAATTTTTATCATAAACTATATAAATTTCCAAATGTTCAATTTTTCTCACGTTTACCGCTCTCAGATCATTACTGATGACCTTGTGTCACTTAAACCCACACAGGAAGTTGTCTAAGTAACTATTTTATCCGGAATGGACTAAAAATATATATAGCGATAAGATGTTTTGAAGAGGGGTAAAACATACTTATGATGAACATTTTCCGAGAAGGGATTTTTTCCCCGCCCATGCAAATAAGCATCAGTATATATAAAGAAAATCTACAGAATCCTTCTTGTGTAACTCCAGGGCTTACATGGACAGACCAATCAACTAATTTGGTAAGTTTTTTGCATGTTAATTTATTAAGTACAGTTATTTATCCAGTGTTCTGAATTATATCAAATAAACATGTTTTTTTAATTTAAAAGAAAGATAACTGAAGTATCAATTTCCTTATTTTTGTAAAATAAAAATTCAATGTTTATGTTTGTAAAATAAAAATTCAATGTTTATGTTTGTTATACTGGCAAGGTCTTATCTAGCCATATCATATCTTCTTATATCCATATCTCTAACTATTGCTTACCAGATTTTGAAATTAGTATAAAAAGATGTGTTTCTAGTACGCAAACAACTATGTCCCTTTCCAGAACATATGAGTTCACTCCGCTTTTTAGTATGTCCTTGTGTGTTTTTTCCCCATTGGTTATGGTGATTGTCCATCATCAACTTTTGATATTTCGCACAATATCTTCTTACCTTTTTACCACTCATAAATGTTTGTTTTGATACTTTATCATGACACTTAAATATAAATCTAGATATTAGGTTATATATGCATTTTTTTCTCTAAAGAAAACATGAATAAACGTAATAGACCTTCAGTAACAGTTGACATATGTAAATGTATGTTTCAAAATATACAAAAATTACCTAAAACCTTTACTAAATTCTTCCATAGATACAAATATTTGTTTTAGAAATTTGGTTGTACCTGTAGAAAACTTAATCGAAATAGGATAGCATATCCTTATTTATAAAGGGATGTTGTTTACCGATCCTTGAAATTTAGATATGATGTGGGTAAACTGGTCAATCCTTTAAATTAGCTTATTCTAAAAGTTGATCAAATTCAACAAATTAAATGTAATCAAATCTTTGAGTATTGTTTTATTGGTATTATTATTGGTTTTTATGCCCCACTAATTATGCCCCACTTAGGGGCATTATGTTTTTCGGTATGTGCGTCCGTTCGTTTGTACGTCCATTCGTTCGTACGTCCGTCCGTTCTTCCATCTGTCACGCTTCAGGTCAAAGTTTTTGGTTACAGTGTTTGATGAAGTTGAAGTTCAATCTACTTGAAACTTTGTAAACATGTTCCTTATGATATGATCTTTCTAATTTTGCTGCCAAACAAGAGTTTTGACCCCAATTATACAGTCCTTTAATCATAGAAAATGATAGTGCAGGAGGGGCATTCGTGGACTATGGACACATTCTTGTTTTTACAAAAATCAATAAATCAAAATAATATAAATGAACAGAACAGAGTTACAATGCCAAACTTATTGCACATATTTGAAATATCCAAGGTACAAGTGGTAGAACACCTTTTTTGTTCTTTCAAATCTAATAAAGAAATATCTTAGACAAATGAAGGCTTCCGCGCCAATGCAATGCAATTCCGATATAATTAATATTTCCAAGGGGCATAACTTGTTAAAAATATTTGATCAGCACTAAAATTCAAGAGAGTCAAAGACATGGTAAATACAAATCTATGCAGTATACCATACGCAAATTTAAAGTCTAAAAAAGTATTCTTTACCATACTAAATGTATTTATTGTCAGCTGCTTAGTAAAATCAATTATCATTTTTAATTGCAGACATGAAATTACAAAAGAAGACTTTTTGTCTGCTATGGATTTCGTTGATGTTGATTTTCATTACGACAGAAGCTAGATGGACGACATCTACCTGGCAATCGCTCGGAAAAATTAGAACAAGTTTAAAGTCCAATCAACAATCGGCAGAACTAAGTAAAATAGAAAATTATCTTAAATATCACGATGTATCGAACGCAATTTCTCCAACAATAGAAGCCGTTGGTGATGCAGCTCCATCTTTGACAAGTCGAGATGTCACAGAAATCGTCTCTGGTGCATTAGACATCATGTCAGCAGTTTCAGTCCTGATTCCAAAAGTCGGTCCGATAATAAGTAGCATTTTAACGGTGATTTCTGCATTGATAAGCGCAATAGGTGGCAGTGGAAGTCAAACAGACATTGGATCGGTTGTTAAGAATGCTATCAATGAAGCACTTAGTAGATTCGACGATTCCAACCTCAGAGCAGAAGCATTCGGTACTTCCAAAGTATTTGACGTTTCATTAGCATACCTCGACGGAATAACCGATATAAAGCAACATGAAGTTTCTGCTCTGTCTGCACATGTTCCTATCTATTCTGGAGTTAGGTTCATCGGAATACTACAATCAAAGATAATGGAGAGTTCAACAAGTGATGATAAGCAGCAGGTCAAACGGGCAATTGAATACACGCGACTTTTTGTAAAGCTCTCTGTCCTTAGATCCATTGTTATGTGGAAAATGTACATCACTGTCAAACAAGCAGGACATAGTGTGTCAACAGCAAAAAGCATTCAAAGCGTTATTAAAACTATGAAATTGAGAGACAAAAACTTCTTAAGGTTTTTGACGAATCCTTCATATTCTCGAGCTGTTTTCTTTGCACACTTGAATCCATCTGAGTTGCCTGAAGTTTCGAAGTATTTAAACAAATGTCAACTTGCCTTTCAGAATCTGGCATTCTTAGGGGAAAGGTATCACAGTTTACGAACCCAAAAATGGTCAAGATGGTATGCTTATATGGACGATGATAAACATGGTTCCATGATTGGATCAACAAATTTAAACAACCAAGGATACTTCTACTTTGAAACAATTTCGTCAGTAGACAATACTTTCTACTTGAGTTCAGCGAAATGGTCCGAATGGTATGTCTACATGAAAGATAACGATGGTGGAACACTAAATGGGTGGAAAGGAAATCCCGGGTCTAGTGGACAGTGGAAAATAATCAGGTTATATGATGGGTATTACATGTTGTCGCCAAAAAAGTGGCTTAACTGGTTTATATATATGAAAGACGACGATGATGGAACAATTCGAGGTTGGAAAGGCAACCCTGGAAAACAAGGACATTGGCGCATAGAATGAAACTCTAAGAAAAGAAACTTATATATTATTCATTCTCTGTAACTATTAACCAAGGGATGGATTTCTGAAAGATTTATTTTCTTAAGAATTTGTTCATTTTATGAATTCCTCAAATAAAATCATTTTTAGATATTTTTCACACATTATTTGATCTTTTGTAAGCTGTAGGTAGATTTGATTTGTTCACAACCTACTTGATATGTAATATGTCTTAAAAGCAAAATGAGGACTTGATTAGCAACTCGTTTTAATACAAATTCTTTAATCTACAAAAAGGGGTATGACCGGGTTCTACGAAAAAAGGATGCATCTTCCAACATTTATATATACATATATTTACTGACAGTCATAGTTTCGTGTGTTTTCTTTCGGATTCCTATAAAATGATGTCGCATTTTTGTATGACTTTGTGAAACATAATTATAAACACTCAAAGAAAGTTATACTATACAATTCTGATCGCTAAGTAAACGTCTTTTGACTTTTAAGAAAGAACATACTATTCACCAAAGTTTAACGTCATGTAATTCTCTTGACGACAATTAACATTTTCAACTTTATGTTTATCTTATTTAATACATAACACCGTTTGGTCGATTAAGTTTCAGACGTATTAATTATCTCTGTGATATCCAAAACTTGCCATGATTGACATATTTGACAAAAATGATCTTTTTAACGATTACAGTAATGCAATGATATGCATTTACTCTTTCAATTTCCCTTTTGTCGACATTTTTGTATGATCCCTTTGTTGCTTCCGCTTCTCTTTATTCCCAAATTAATTTTTTTATTATATTAATATCAACACCGACTTTACATCAACATCTGTTTTTAAACGTGTAGCGTATTTTGAGACTGGTGTAATATATAAGTCTTGCATCTGTACACTGTCCTCTTTTTAGATGGTCCCTTGACGTTTTTAATGATGTTTGTTATTTCTGTTAGTGTATGTCAAATCCGATCACCCAGTAACGATGAGTGTTTCGAATGTGCCATCATTATTATATACGTAAAAAGTAAAAGAACACCGAGGAAAATTCCAAACGGAAGGTCAAATGGCAAAATCAAAAGCTCAAACACATTAAACGAATGGATAACAACTGTCATATTTCTGACTCGGTACAGTTGTTTTCCTAATATAACTTTTCTTTCCGCTTTATAGATGATATAACAAATAGATGTGGTATGATTGCAACTGAGACAACTCTTCACAAGAGACCAAATAACACAAAAATTTATGATGATGTTTTCCTACTAAATATTTCAAGAGATACAGTTAAGTCTGCCTCATATCTTGACTTACATCTAGAAATTGACTTTGAGGGTAGGTTACAAAAAAAAAACTACACGACAAAATACCTAGTAGATGATTTCAGCTTCCCAACTGCGAACTATCCACTTCTATGTAGCAACATTCCAGCAGCACCTGCATACGGAGTATATATCTCCCCATTTAAGACAATTAATTCGATATTCACGGGCTTGTATTTCATATCATGATGTTTTTATAGAGGTTTGCTACTCACAAGGAAACTATTAAACCAAGAAATCCAAATGGTGAAGTTGAAGTAATTCCTTCGTAAATTTTACGAACGCCATAACGAGTTGGTTGATCGTTATGGAATATCCGTTTAATAGATTATATCATATATGTTCCTAATGCCGTAACTACAATCCCGTCAGCTTTTCACGAATGTGACCTACTCAATAAGACTTGTTACTGGGTTTGTACTAACATGAGCAACACTACGTGTGCCGCATGTGGAGCAGAATCCGGGGTACCTGAGATCACCTTCAGTTTTTGATGGGACTCGTGTTGCATAATCTTAAGTTTCCATGTTGTGTGTGCATACTGTTGTTTCTCTTTTTCTATTTTAGCCATTGCGTTGTCAGTTTATTTTCAACTCATGAGTCCCCTTGGTATATTTCGCCTCTCTTGTGTTGGCGTTTGTTTTTGTTGCACTTCGGTGTTCCTGTTGTTCCTTTGTTTTCCTCTTATATAGATATAGTAAGATGTGGTATGAGTGTCAATGAGACAACTCTCCATCCAAGTCAAAAGTAAACCATTGTAGGTCAAGTTATGATCTTCAACACGGAGCCTTGGCTCACACCGAACAACAGATGTGTTTCCCTCCGTTAAGGTTTGTAATCCGGATTTGTTTTTTTCTCAATCGATTTATTACTTTTGAATACCGGTATACTACTGCTGACTTTATTTAATAATAAATTTGTGATTCTTGAACCATGTTTTACAACAAATTAAGATATCACAATTTTTTCAAATGACATGTACTGAGGATAATGGAGAGACAAAATATAGTAGGATACTGAAAGTAAATATTGAATAAACGTTACAAATATCTCTAAAAAAACACTAAAAAATGTCAAGGCAAACTCATATCGGACAATGACATTGATACGCTAGTTAATAAAACAGCAAACGTGCCATAATCTCAATATTTTTATAAAAACCAGTTAGCCAGATTAATATGTATATTCCGCTTTGGATGTATATACTTCCCAGTAAATAAAGTCTTATTAAAGTACATCAGTGAGAAACATTATATAGAAACGAAATTCATTTACTCGTTTCATTTTCCTTATTGATGCTAACAGTAATCTAAATGATGATATACTAATGAAGGGGCGAAAGATACCAGAGGAACATTCAAACGCATTAATCGAAAATAAACTGACAACGCCATGGCTAAAAAAAAAGACAAACAGACAAACAATAGTACACAAATCACAACATAGAAAAGTTAAGACACGGACCCCACCAAAACTGGGGGTGATCTCAGGTGCTCCGGAATGGAAAGCAGATCCTGCTCCACATGTGGCTTAATTGGTAACATACGTCTCTCAATTTCTATGTGCATGTATTCTTTGTTGTTTAAAAATAAGGAGATGTCGTATTAATTCCAATAGGGTAACAATTCACTAAATGACATGAATATAAGTAAAATAGTAAGTAAGAAATGATGGTTTAGCAGATGTAGTTAAAGGCACATATTATAGTATACTGAAGATAATGTTTATATAATATATATCAACACTTAAATCCGAAAACATGATGATATATTTACTTTTTTTTAAAGAATGACTGTTGGCAATCTAGATGAAAAAAGAAATCGCCTTCGTTGACGATGACAAAAGGAACCCTTAAATTTAATAAGAAGATATTTGCAAGGATTGTTAATGAAATAACTTCTCACTAAGGACAGAAAAACGAGTATATACAAAACTACGGGTCACCGTACGACCTTTAAATCAATACCGTACTATAAAAGGCCCAAGTATTTTCAAAATGTGAACTAATTCAAAACAGAAAACCGGCAGCCTAATTAATGCTAAAGACAATAAACAATATAATTATGACAAACAATACTCAACGACAAAAACTGGGTAAAAAGCTCCTGAATGGGATAGTCACATAAAGGATGTTACAGGAAAAATGTGTTAGTGAGAACTTTAACCTCCCATAATGAGGAATACTGGTGTAACAGCAGACCAACAAACTGTTAATTCATTGTGAAATGGTTTGAATCATCAGTTAATTGATGAGCAAAAACAAACAGAGTGACACAGGACACAGTTTCCAAATCTAAGAATGTTTTCAGTTACGGAAAGTTCCAAAGCCCCAAATCAACTAATGAATACAATTTACAAAAAGTAAAATACTAATCAGTATAAACGAGATAACTATCCGCCTTTTTATGTATAAAACAATCAAACAACTACAACCATTGTGTAACCGGTTATGACTTAGGACAGGCATATTTAGTCTTTTTTAATAGTTGTCTTTGTTAGATATATTTCTATGTGTATCAATCTGATGAGTTTTTCAACTGATTTCTACAGTTCGTTCTTATGTTGTACTGTTACACCACTGTCACAGGTTAAGGGAGGATTGTGCTAACGCTAATATGTGTAACTCCACCACATGCTGTATATATGTGCCTGTCCCATGTCAGGAGCCTGTAATTAAGGGTTGTCGTTTGTTGCTGTGTTACATATTTGTTTTTCGTTCATTTTTTGTACATTTGTAAGTTTTCTCGTTCGAATTGTTTTGTATTTGTCATTTCGGGGCCTTTTATAGCTGACTATGCGGTATTGGCTTTGCACATTGTTGAATGTTGCACGGTGACCTAGAATTGTTAATTAATGTGTCATTTGGTCTCTTGTGAAGAGTTATCTCATTGACAATCATACCACATCTTCTATTTTTATACATACAGTTTATCCCGTTCCATCACCCATTCAAATTATGTCTTGTTAATAGATTATATGTATGTTTGGTAAGCCAAATACATAAGTTAAGTAACATTTATCTGGACGTGTTCTGTTTTCTGCTAAGTTTTGTTGAATAAATAATACTTAGATTTTGTATGTTTGAAGCAATATAAAGTTACCATACCATATTTTGCATAAAATGATATACCTAAAAAGAATCAAAGGAACTACGTCAGTTGCTCTTTTATTGCTTAAAAATTACACTATCTGCATTCACTTTAACAATGTTTGGTATGAACATACACTATACAATAATATAGTTCAATCAAAGATAAACAGAATTAACATTTGAATGAATTGATTTAAATTGTGTAATGCCGTTGCCTTTTATAGTTTACTAAACAGTATGTGTCTACGTCTAAACAAGTAACAACTCTACGAAAGGTCCATACATTGGATCACCAGTGAAGCAAATTTTTCTTCTTCCCTGACGTGGAAAAACAAAAATTTCATTCCGCAAATTTCAAATTTAAATAAAGCCAACAGTAGTATATCCGTGTGCAAAAGTCATAAATCCATTGAGAGAAAACAAATCCGGATTACACACTAAAACCGCGGGAAACGCATCATATATAAGTGGAAAACAAAGGAACAACAGGAACAATGAAGTGCAACAAAAACCAATATTATTAAACCAGGGATTTCGTTACCATAAATTACTTAAAACACTAAATTCTTTCATAGATAAAATATTAGGTTTTGAAGTTTTATTGTACCTGCAGATAACTTATTTCAAACGGGATAGCATATCCTCATTTGTTCTCGTTTGAATTGTTTTCAATTTGTCATTTCGGAGCCTTTTATAGCTGACTATGCGGTATGGGCTTTGTTCATTGTT